GTACGAGTAAAAGTTGACATCTCATATCACTGGAGCAGAGTGTTTCTTCTCTTGGCTAGCTTATAGTATCCCCAACTGAAGAACGGTTGAGTGTCAACTTTGTATCTATACCGCCTGGCAAGTCCTGTACATGGTACATGTACACGACAAAGTCATACAGTACTCGGCGCAAACACAGCTTTCACAAAGGTCAAAGGGCGTGCTTGGCTCCTGGGCACCGTTGCTTCGGTGGCTTGCTCGTCTACCAACCACTTCCGCCCCCACCACCCGGATCCGACGGGACGGAAGACGGAGTACCCACGGACATTTTCACAAAGTCCAGTAACCGAAAAATAACTTATATTGCTTCCATTGTCCGTGGCTTGGCCTTCCTTTTACAAGCTGGTGACGACTGACAGTGACGACGACCTTCAGGCACCGACCCTTGGTGACCTGTTTATCTGCGTATTGGGATACGCCTGCTCGCACGTCATCAGAGGTAGGGTTCGACATGCCGGCTGGGCTTGGACTCAGTGCCGACAGCTTCTCTCCCGCTAAGGCATGTCGAAGAGCGGCGTGACTTGGCCGTTCTGCCTGTGTCCGGGATCTAGGGCTCCACGGGCCCCGGGACGTGGATCCACAGCAAAAAAGCGGCCGACCATTCCGTCCTGTTCCCTTTGAGTAACTCTAATTGACGGCCACAGAGAGAGGCAAAAAAGTGATTATGTCCGCGATAAGGCTGAATATGACGTCGGGCAGCCCTTAGAGAAGACGTTAGGGCTGACGAAAGAGTAACGTAGACGCCTTACGTCTACACACGTGTGCAGCGTATTCCTACAGGAGGGTACGTATGGCTATGCGTGACAGCTTCACTTACACACGGCGGTCAAGAACGCAAAGTCACCACGGACGACTTAACTCCCGGGCCCCGATGACCAAGAGGTGATGGAGGTAAAACCAGGACCATAACCTTGGCAACGTGCCCTTTCACCCATCGAACAAGGCGCCCATATTATCTCCGACACCCCGATGATTCCGGTCAGATACCTCCACGGAGCGAAAAAGGTCCCACCTCCTACAACACTACCAAACCGCCATTTCACGAGTCACAGGACACGAAAAACACCCAGATGGGAAACATCCATTACGACCGTATGACTCAAAAAACGCCAGGGTCTTTGTTCGGAGGCGGGGACCCTTGATCAGCAGTCGTGAGTGACCGACACACACACACACCTCTTGACCAAGCATCCATTATCTTTCCGAAATCTCACCAACCCTATCCCACCCCGGTTTTTCTGAGCATGGGATACAAAGAAAACGCATGAGCCCAGATGCAGAAAGAAAGCCCTAATGCCATGTCGATATGTAAGGTAGCTTGGGGGACTGGCAGCAATACGTTGCGCCCTCCCCACTTGGGACCATCTCTGCGCTTCGCTTTGAGTGCTGACAATTGCACCACAGTATCGTGACAAAGACGAGTGGGTAACTGTTCAACGTTGGCTGACAAACTAGAAATAATCACTAAGCAAGTAATTGGAAGGGATTGAAGCTCTCACGGGAAGTGGATGCAGCTCTCTCGTCAACCCGCCTTGACCTCGCGTATTGTCGAAATCGCCGATGACTTTTCCCCACTTGAAACACCAACGAGGCTATCAAAGGCATGGGAACCCCATTCGGTTGCGGAAATTTTTGGCTTCATCCTCGAGGATAACACGGAAAGATGGACCGTCTTTGCCAAGGATTCAACGGCAAGGGTTTAACTGCAATGATCAATGCGGTCGTCCATGGACCTCCGTGGCCGCAGGACGGACGATACAAGGTGCACACTCCGAGACATCCGTGTTGGATGAAGCGAAGCAGATCGTGATCCTTCAACGCCAATCTCGGTTCCCGTGCAAAAATACAGATGAACCCGATGACAAGGCCATGGTCGTATGATTTTACGGGAAGAAATCGGTTTGCTGGTTGTTACATATTACCCAGGTTGACTGAGGACATCATGTATGTGACGTGTGACGACATTGCAGGCTTGTTTGCCGTGTAACCTCTTTGATCCATGCCATTGTGCAAGAGGGCAACATGAGTCTATCCCGAGAATGAATTACAGCGGCCGCTAGCTCGGGCATCAACGGTCAGAAGGACGAGTTACACACAAAGTGCCCCGTGCTGTAGATCATTTCAAGCCCGCGGCGTCTATCAGAGACCGCCATTCCCGGCTCCTCCAAAGTGGCTGCCTTAGCTCTAGCATTGCATCGTGGATGAGCAGGGATTGTGTGTGAGTCCCCGCCATGGTTTTCGTTCGTTCGCTAAGCACATGCAGCTTGTCTTTTCTTGTTTGCCGGTTGTTGCTGCAAATGTCAAGGACGCGGTGAAGTCGACAAATGATCCGAAGCTGCCGAAGTCGCTCGCCGTGTCTTGGCACGGCAAACTGCTTCCATCCAAGAAAGGATCCCACACATCCGAGGACAGATGCGGTTTTTGAGGATGAATGGAGTTTTCGGAAAACGCGGATATAAAGTTCAAAGCTTACCGGGAATAGCAATCAGACTAATGAACCGTGTGTGGGAGCAGTCATCACCTCACACCCTCTACTTGTTTATAAAGAAGGACGCCCTTCACCCAACAAACGCCATCCGTCTCCGTCACGGGCCACCCGGCCTTCACCCTCCAACTTCCCCAGAATCTGTAACACACCACCACAGGCCGCAGGGTGGAGAGTCTCTGGCACCTCCTTGTAGATGACCTTGACCAGCTCCATGGCTGTCCACGTCGAACTCAGCTCGGCGACATTTGTCTTGGCCTCTCCTGGGCCGAGTCCCAGCGTCTGAATGACCTGCTCTTCTCGTTGACGTCGATGGGAGATGTACTCGGCAATCTTGGCTGGACCGTGCTCGATGACAGGGCCGTGGCCGGGGTATGCCCTGCCCTTGAAGAGCGTCTTCATATCTTCAAGGCTTCGTAGATATGTTGCCATGTCCTCAAAAACCGCCGTGCCCTGACCGAGTACGTTGTCGGCCGTAAACATAGCATCCTCCTCATCCATTACGAAAACAATATGATCCTTGGTGTGCCCTGGTGTATACGCCGCCGTCAGGGTAGCACCATCAACCTCGAACCGCTGTCCATGTTCGATCGCGAGCTGCCCCTCCTCCGGGGTGTGCTTGTAAATCTTTGTCTGCGGCGAGATACTCAAGAGGTCCTTAATGCCGCCCGTGTGGTCATGGTGCCAGTGCGTGATGAGCGCGGCGTCGATGGTGGCGTTCTCCTGCTGGAGGGTGTCACGAATGGACGTGATCCAGGCGTTGCGACCCTCGCCCGTGTCGATGAGGAGGCGCCGGCGGCCAGTGCCGAGGAGGTATGTGTTTGTACCTTGGAGGGTGAACTTGCCCGGATTGCCACCTAAGATGCGGATACAGGCGGGACTGAGGCGTTCTACGGCCGGGAGGGCGATGAGTTGTGTTGCCATGATGTGGGTAATGGGTAGTGTGAGGGTCGAGTTCAAGCGTTAAACCGGGACCTGGTTCGGAGTCTAGGGCCGTGAAAAATGAAAGCCGGAGCAAACCCGGCGTAAAATCGGGAGGGGTCCGGATCCGGAAGCCGGAGATCGGAGCCGGGGGTTCAACAGTTTGTGTGGAGAAATCGGGAAAGGGTCCAGAGCGGGACCGAAAGCGAAGCCGAAGGGAGGTGCGCCTAGGGATAAAGCACAACAGAGGATGGTGAAGATGAAGGAGGAGGAACGGTGAGTTGTTTGTCGGATTTGGCTATTTTACTGGTGAAAGAGTGGCTGTCGTCATTCGGCATTTGGAGATCTCGGTAGTGTCTGTCCAATACCACGAGGAAAGAGCTGGAAAGCCTCGGCCCAAAGTGGTTCTCCTCATGAGGAGCTTAATAAACATCAATGATTACGGACATTACTCGTTGATGCTTAAGCTTCTGAATAGCATCATCTTTTTTATGAAATCCACCTGAAGCCACCCCCATCGCTTGTTAGGGGTTTCGCTTTATGCATATTTATAGTAGCAAAGGTGCAACGTTGTGCCTGATCAATGTCAAAATGTCGGTTTCAAGGATCCTCCGCTTGCCGTCCATCGACACGGGAGGCTGTCACAGTGTCGTGGTAGCGGCTGACAAGCGAGCGCTAAAAATATAGGGGCTAGTACAGGATTAGGTGAAGAGCATCACATCATCCCATGATGGTCCGTTGAGGGCATCATTTGAGCAAATGACAAAGCAGTCGGTCAATGGAGTATGTGCTTGATGTATAGATCCGAGTGTTTCCAGACAAATAATACTGATTGCTTCAACGGGTAATTTATCCATTAAGATTCAACGCCGTGACGATGGTAGCCGGCTGCTTATCTTATCGCATTGCATGATGCAGCTGATTGGTTTTTTTTTCACGAGGCAAACGCCGTCACAATTGTACCTTGCCTGCTAATTTACCCCCGGAAGGTACGTACTCCACCAAACAAACACCCGCACCTCATCTCTCGCTCCCTGTCTTCAGTGGCTTCTTTCCAATCCAATCCATTCTATTTATTCAAGAAGCGACAAGAGATTCAAAAACCACTTGCGCCGAGCCATCTCGACATTTTTTGCTTCATCTCTCGAGGCGCAAATCGGCTCCTATCTTCCATCTTACTCTTAATTCGTCTTCTGCTTATTTAATTCAACAATTACTTCTTCCATCTCTTGACCGACACGCACGGCTTGTCCGACGTTCGGCTTAGCGTGTGCTGTGCTGTGCTCTGCTGTGCCTTGCATCCTTCAGCCTCGCCCGCCTCTCACATCCTCGATCGACAATCAACGAGATTCTTTGCAGCGAGCTTGATCGATCATAATACTTCCCCTTTCGGTCGCCCGACTTCTCAAGACATACTTCCGCTCTGGTCATTGCTGTGGGATCGCTCGCCTACCCTTTCATCGTTCGTCCAGGCGGCCGCCGGCACCGCTGCATTCTCTCGAGCTTCACTCGTCCACAAGCAGAGCTTTGAGGCCACCCAGCTCAATCCCTCATCATGTCTGCCCGGCCGACAACACCCGCGTCACCTAAGAACTTCAAGGTCAAGTCCCCGGTCCCGGGGTCGCCAATGTTCGGCTGTGGTACGATCCCCTTCTCTCCAGCGATCCCCCGGCGTCGCGTTGCCTTCTTTTCTCTTCTAACCGGTCTCTAGAGCATGTACAACTTCTCTTGACCCAAGGCCAAGAGGTCATGAACAGCTCCATCACACACTACAAGCTGATTCTCCGCGGTATCTTCGATTCGACCCCCATCATCCCACAGACTTCGACGACCCAGGACGGACGACCCATCACGACTCTCACATCCAACTACCTCTGCCTGCAATGTCCCACGACCGTATCCGAAGACGATCGATTGAAGCATGGAACTAAGAAACAACATCGCTTCTGTTGGTGGCTCTTGACCACTTGACAACACCCGCCCTGCTAACCTGTCGCAGACGTCGACTCCCGAAGTGGCTCTCTCTACTGTCAGATATGTGATGACTTTGTTTGGGATCCCACATTGGAGGAGCTCCGAGTGCGAAAGATAGGAACCGGGTCTTTCTCTGGTAAGCACCAAATGGCATGGCCGTACAGGGCAATTTTGCCAAACCGGCATTGTCGGGTCTTAGCTGCTTGACACTGCGCAACAACGAATTCTACAACATGGACTAACGATTGTTCAGGTCGCAAGAGGAAGCATGATGAGCTCTTCCAGGACTCCATTAAGGATGACCCTCGATACATCACCAACAATACCACAACCGCCTCTTGCCGCGCAAACGGCCTTCGCGGCATCTACAACGCTGGTGCCACTTGCTACCAAAACGTTGTCCTCCAAAGCTTCCTCCACAATCCCCTCCTCCGTAACTTTTACCTCAGTGATGGCCACCACGACTGCCAGGTTTCTCACTGCTTGAGCTGTGCCATGGACGACATGTTCCAAGATTTCTATGCTCTCGAGAACACCAACGGCTACACGGCCGCCAACATCTTGTCGGGGTTCTGGATTTCTGAGAAGAAGGCCTTTGAGAATCTGGTAACCACCAAAGAACAAGATGCTCACGAGTTCTTCCAGTTCCTGGCTGAGGAACTTCACGAGCGCAATGGCGATGGCAAGAAGCCCGAGATTGGCAGCGAACACAGCTGCAACTGCATCATGCACCAGACCTTTTACGGCAAGATGCAAACCACAACCACATGCCAGAACTGCGCTGGACAGAGCAATTCCATCCAATCCTTCCTAGATCTAAGCCTTGGTCTCGAGAATGTGGTTCAGAAACGAATCAAGAAGACGGGTCTCAAGAAGCCATCCCTTACTCTACAAGACTGCCTGGACGAAGAGTACATCAAGTATGACAAGTGCGAGTATCGCTGTAACAACTGTAGCTCGATCCAGCAAGCCAAGCGACACACCAGCATCAAGCGTTTGCCGAATGTTCTATCAATACAACTAAAGGTGAGTTGGTCTATTGGAATGACTCGGCCAACTGGAAGAAACTAATGGTCTTGAAGCGCTTCGAATATAGGCATGGAAGACACGACAGGGCAGCCTCCAAGGTCAGCAACGAGGTGCGATTCCCGCTGCAGCTGAACATGCTGCCCTACACGAATCGTGCCCGTAGCCGTGACAGTCGCGAAAATTTCGAGTTAGAACGATCATGCACCTACGATCTCCTCAGTGTTGTGGTCCATGTCGGCGAGATCGATACTGGCCACTACACATCGTACTGCCGGGTTGGTGATCAGGTAAGCATCACTATTCTTCCAAGACTATTTAGCGGCGTGCTAACATGCGGTATCAGTGGTTCAAGTTCAACGACCACAAGGTTGAGATGGCTAGTTTGTCTGATGTACTCGGCGCTCAAGCCTATCTGCTCTTCTACATCATCCGTTCCCTCGCTTAACCCTTTGTTACAGTAAAGGGGCAGAGAGCAAGCATGAGCACCGGGTGAGGCCAGGGGATCATTGATGGAAATTGAAATTGGAAGCACTGGACCGGCGTCAACGGGCATGGATGGCAGGCTCACTATGGGAGGAAAACAAAGGCAGATGCCCGGAGTGGGATGCATTGCTCGGCGTAAAGATTCAATTTAGCAATTCCCGCAAGGGGCCCACGATATGATGCATGTTGCCTGGTGTATTTTGCTTTCAATGATTGCCGACGGCTCTACTTTGATCACTTATCGACTACTAACATGCAAACCACATCACAGGCAGCAGAACATAGTAATTATGGTTAGTCAAAGCAACATTTCTCCCGTGAAAGATCATACTCTCAAGACTCGTGCTGGGCAAACAAATCAGGGGTATTTTGCGGCATCTGCCATTCTACGTAGGTGATCGTGTAAAGTAACACTCATGAAAATCGAGGCTTAGTCCACAACCCATAGGCGTAACGACTCAGCCTTGTACTCAGTCAGACTCGTCGTCAGACCGCCAGTCCCATGTGGAACTCTCAAAATTGGCATAGCAATAGTAGTGGTTGCTCAGACCAGAGTGAGCCGGCTCAAATGTAGTCGAGTAGACCTTGAGAGAGCGGTAGAGCTTGCTGACGAGAGAGGACATTCTCTCGCCTGTGCAGACAATGACGCGAGGTGAAGCTGGTTTAAGCAGCCAGCGGGCGGTGAGGGCAACTGTAGAAGTGTCATATCAGCAAAGGAGAGGATGGTGAGGGAGTCTTTGTCCAGGCGGACTTTGACATGGGACTAGACGTTGGTATGGCGGATAGAGAACAACTTACACTTTGTTTGGCAGTCGCTGCTGAAGAAGGGCGGGTCGATGATGATGCTGTCTATACTACCCTTGAGCGAGCCTGATTGAAGCGATGTCAGCACTTGGGTCTCATCGATTCGAGGAACAAGCACAAACCTGGAAGCTGGAGAGGCCGTTGAAAGTCATAAAATACAAACTCGGGGAAGACACTGAACCGGTGGTCATGCTCGAACAAAACCACCTTCGGTCTGTCCTCAACCGGCCAATGTCTCTACACGACAGCGAACGTTACGAGTCAGCAACCATGTCTTGTCCCATGCAGGAACTCAAACCCTGCATGTTTTTACTTCCACGGAGGATAATATCTTTCTTACCAGGCGGTTCTTGAGCGCAACGAATACGCTCGGCGTCGATAAGACACCAATAGTCGAACTGGCGGATGCGCCGTCGAGGAGCTGATCGGCCAGGACAAAGGCCGTCTCATCGAGGAACTAGCGAACCCCCAACGACCCATGTTAGCTTTAGTTGCACTGTTTCATAATAATCATGAACTTTGGACGTTGGGCGTCCTGATGCCAAGAGCTGAGTCCCGCAGGCCAGTACGTAATAGTAACCTAATGGGCAGGACACCCCAGAAGGCCGATCGCGATGCCATCTCCACCGCCTCGACCTGGGGTAAAAAACCACTGGACGACGACAACAGCTCTGGTGTTGCTTTATATGCAGGTGCAGTTGACTTCATCCTCGTAGGATGAAATGTTACGTACCCAAAACTGCGACTCGTTCCAGTCCTCTGTGAAAGCCGCCATGCTCAGCTGCTGCTGATCCGGGTCCTCGGCCGGGGTATCATCCTCTTCTTCTTCTTCTACATCGTCGTCCCCTCCGGGGCCGACTACCCCGGGTACGGCTCCGGCTCGGGGGGCCGCCCCGGTCTTGAGCTTCTCAAACGTCTTTCGGTGGGCGTCCTTTTCGGCGTGGAACTCGGCCAACGCGGCCAGGGCGTGACTCGAGAGGCTTCTGCAGAGACAATACAAGTCAGCAAGCTGGAGGACTTTATGGGCTATTGGGGTTTCGGCGCACATGGGCTCTTCATCGTCAAAAGACATCGGGAATCTGTCGTCGAGAGATTTCCTATTTCGTTCCGTGGGCGGCGGCTGAGGTTCAAAGATTCGGCTTTGGAAGGCGTGATCTTAGTGATGGTGGGGTTTTTCTGAGAGGGCATGGCGGGGCATCATACCGACCCCGGATTATCGGCATCTCTAGGGTAGTTACTTTGGCATCTAGGTATCAACAGCTACTATCACGAATCATATTCTTCTCTCTTGCCTGTTGGCACGAATTTTGATGTGTTTTGAGCTAGAGGGTTTTCTGTTTTCAATTGAGGCTGTGGAATTGTAAATAAGGTGATCAGAAGTGCAGTTGGTTTTCGAGGTGAGAAGAAGGGATCAAGGCCCCTGGCAAATCGTGAAAGGGGGTCAAATAAACCCCAAAGCAATAAGCGGGACAGTATCATTCCTGTCAAGAACAAAAGGTGCAAGGGGTATCAACAGTCGGATAGACAGAGGACCTGTGCAGCAATCGGGTTAAATTCGTGCCCATCCGTTGTCGACTAGTGATCGAGCTGATTGTTAGACATGTTGAAAGAAGCACCCACGAAGAATAAACATCAAGGCATAATGTGGCAAACGCATGAGCAAGAAAGTTTCCCATTTAACATTTGTCTGTATTGTGAGAGCGAAACACTCGACCAGAGTAACCACTCCATCAAGGCAAATCTACCTGTCTAGCACAACTCCCATAAAGCAAATCGCAAATCCCTGACACTCGAATCCCTGATAACGCCTCGCATGCTTTCATAACCATGACATCTTGAAAAACACGTACCCAGAAGTCTCAATGAGAAATGTACTGGAAAACAGCCGATACCTCAGCCTCCCCACACTCTTGTCTTAGCAGCAAATCTTGAATAGGCTTCAGGCCCTCATTGACAAAGTGGTTCCATGTGCTGGTATCACCATACAACATTGCTGGCGCCTTGATGTACTGCTTGCCATCCGGCTTGCAACGCCTGCACTTAAAGGTCTCGTGAGTGTCGCTCTTGGTGTTGGGCCGGTACTGGAAGAGCTCGCGGAGACTGTCCAGAGAGAAATGACGCTCGACGTCTTCTGCCGAGTCCACGACACACGAAGACAAACTTTGCTTGTGAGACTGTCGCTGGAAGATCTTCTCCTCGATCGTACCCGTGGCAATGAATCGGTAGACGAAACAATCCTTCTTCTGCCCGTCACGCCACACTCGCGCCAGAGCTTGTTGATCAGCTGCAGGATTCCAGTCAGGGTCGAATAGAACGAGACGGTTGGCACCAATGAGGTTGATACCACAACCACCTGCCTTGCTGCTGAGCAAGAAGACAAACTCATCACCGTTGGGGTCGTTGAATCGATCAACAAGTTTCTGACGCTTGTTGACGTTCATGGTTCCATCAAGACGAAGGCAACCATACTGGCGAGATCGGCAGAGCCGCTCAAAGAGATCCAGCGTCGAGGTGTAGTTGCTGATCAGCACAATCTTGTCATTCGTATCCTGGCGAATACGGGCCAGCATACGATCCAAGACGGCCATTTTGCCCGAGTACCACGACTTGACTTCTCGATCTCGGCCGCGAGACTCTTTTGGAACGAAATCTTCAGGGCAACACCCCTCAGAACCAGGCAAGTCGTCAGAAAGGTTCAACAGATCAGGATGGTTGCAGAGCTTCTTCAAGATGTTGATGGCCTTCAGCGGCTGACTTCCCTTGCCTCGAAGAAGAGCCTGAATATCTGGACTCTTGATAAAGTAGTTGTAGAGATCGAATTGGAAGGGCGCTAGGTTGCAGAACACGACGTGCTCATACTTGACAGGCAAGTACTTGGACAGAATGTCGTTAGTGCGGCGAATCAAGAACTTGTTCACAACACTGAGCAGCTCCCCCGTGCATTCGTCACCCTTTTTGCGATCGGCCTCTGAAGCGTCGGCATCTCGGCCTCGCAGAATGGGAATTTCGAAACGCTTGCGGAACTCTTGTCTTGTCCCGAGCAAATTGGGGTTCGCGAAGCTTGTGAGCGAAAAGTACTCAGTAAGATCGTTCTGAATAGGGGTACCGGTGAGAATGACTCGTCTTGTGACGTTGAGGCTGTTGAGGGCATTGAAGGTGTTGCTGTCACCATTCTTGAGACGATGACCCTCGTCACAGAAGAGCAAACCGATTTTTGTGTGTTTGAGTTCCTCCACATTCAGTCGCAGGGTTTCGTAAGAGACGATGATGACGGGGCGAGTCACAGATCGACCGCTTGCAATGGCCCATTGTCGAAGCTGGCGAGTAAGCTCTTCCTTGCTTGCCTTTCCGTCGATCGCAAATGGGTGGATGGCATTAGCACCCAGCCATTTAACCAACTCGTTCGCCCAGTTCTTGACCAAACTGGCTGGGCAAACGACGATGGCCTTCTGGATGGTCGATTTTCCAGCCTCTGGGGATTGCTTGAGTAATGTCCACATGAGGGAAATGCACTGAAGCGTCTTTCCCAGACCCATCTCGTCTGCCATAATGCAGCCATTGGCCTTTTCGTCAATCATGCCCGTCACACACCGATACATGAACTTGACACCTTCAACTTGATGTGGGCGAAGAATCTTGGCGAGCTTGGGATCAATCACCACCGGAACTCGAGGGTGTTCACCGTCCACCTTCTTCTTGATCCCGAGGATCTCCGCCAAACTCTTGTGAACGAGCGGCGCATCGAGCTTCTCAGCTGAGGCGTCGGCCTTGGGCGCTTCGATTGCCTTGGGCGTATCTTTGGGTTTATCATCGACAGTGGGATCATAAAGCACAATGGAAAACTCGCCACTGGGGTCGTGCAAGGGCTTAGCAATGAATACGGCGCCCTGCCGAAGACCAAGGGTAGGAGGGGCGCGATTGGGGTTGTATGCGGTGCTGTCCTTGTTCTTGAGAGGCACTGAAAATGCCTTGCGAAAAACTAGTCCCTTGTCCTTGGCCTGAAACACGGGGAATTTGTTGACGTCTCGAGTAGCGAGCGCAAGGCGATCCTGGTTCGAGTATGGCTTATCATTGTCTGTCTCGCCGTCTGCACCTGCATAGTCGACCTTTCTCCGCTTTCTCGCTGGTCTGTCGGTCGCCGGAGTGCGTCCGGCGACTCCTGGACACTTGAATGGCTTGTGAAGTCGGTCGAGAGATTGCGGTGTGTGCATACGTCGGCCGATGGTCTTGTCCTTGCCAGCCAGCGGCGTTGACACGAGAGGTGACCTGGAGGGTGTCAATTCGCCTGGTACTGAGTTGCGAAATAGGATGATAACTTACGGAGCAGTCATATTGTCTCGTCTCGCAGTGAACAAGCCCTTAGAGCAGTTTGAAGCGATTGAAAGCTGCTTTGCCACCTGTAGGATCATGGAAGGGTTAATAGCTGAGGGAGGCGCGACCAGTGACTCGACGCGACAGCAGGCAGACACGCTGTCACGTGCCACGCCACCAACAACAATTCCGCACTTGGTAGTACGCGCCCGAGGACTCCGAGACCGCCGAGGGTCTTCCGCTGGGCCATGCGGTGTTAGTGAGAATAGGTAGCGCTCGGCCTCCACCAGCTTAGGTAACCTTGCGCGAGAAGCCAAGCAAGTTTATTATGTTTGTCGATGGGGCCGGTGGCAAGGCGTGCAATTTCTCTTCAATTTCTCCTTGTTTTTCCTCATCTCTTCGAGTGCATTGAACACTGTCGAAAATGTTGTCTGAAAGCCCCTTCGTTGTTGCGCCGTCTGGGTACGTCCAAATATGCCGATCTTGCTGCTCTCAACGGCTTTCTCCAACTTCAGAACCACTAACACATCCTCCAGCGTCAATCTCTCAGCCTCCGATCAAAGCCGATCGGCGAGCGGTGGGGATGGCTTTGCCGAGCATCGAACCGCTGGACCGACCCCTCTCCAAGTCGCAATTGCTGAGCGTCGCACTGGAATTGTGACCGCGACAGTTGCTGGACATTTCGCCCATTGGCAGTACTTGACCCGATACCGCCGAATTGATCTCCATGCCAAAGCGAATCGGCGTCCACTGGCGATACTAGGTTTGGCCTGGGGCGTCGTCTACGTCGGCGTGCTGAGCACCATCACCATCGCCCAGCGCAACGTCTCGAGGCGGTCTGATCAGCTACTCCGGCAAGCGCAGTCCTGAGAAATAGTGCCACTATGTCGGCTGACTTCTGGGCTGGCTATCTGAGCGGTGCTGTTGGAATTATTATTGGAAACCCGCTCGATGTGATCAAAGTACGACTTCAGGCGCAACACAACACCCCCGTCTCAAACACGCCTCCCAACCCGGTCCTTGGAACAACAGCAGCAGCTCACGCAATTAGCCAAGGCCCCTCGCCATATGCTCGCTACTTTGGAAACTCCGCTTCTCTGGTCACTGGTACTGCTGCGCCAATCCTTGGGTATGGCGCCCTGAACGCTCTTCTCTTTGTCTCTTATAACCGCACCGAGGCGGCATTAAACAATGCCTTTTCGACTTCAGGAAACCTCTGGAATACATGGATTGCCGGCGCCGTTGGAGGTCTTGCAACTTGGGTTGTCAGCACTCCCACTGAGCTCATCAAGTGTCGAGCACAGCTTGCTTCCCCACCCCTGTCGAGCTGGGCCATCACGAAACAGATATGGCGAAACGAAGGCATTCGTGGTCTCTACTTTGGTGGCGTTGTGACGGCGCTGCGTGATAGTATTGGTTATGGGTTCTACTTCTGGTCCTACGAACTGAGCACTCGCTGGCTCGCCACCCAACCAGGAGAGGAGTCCTCGTTTCAGCATGAGGCTGCAAAAGTTCTTTTGTGTGGAGGATTAGCTGGTGTCGCGACTTGGGCTAGCATCTTTCCTCTCGATGTCATCAAAACTCGAGTCCAGGCTCAGCCCTGGGTTCAACAAGCAGAAACATCTCCCCTCCTTCAATCAAATGGTGTCTCGCGGCCCAGCAGGACTGGCGCGCTTCAGATTGCACAACAAGCATACAGGGAAGAAGGCGCCCGGGTGTTCTTCCGAGGATTGACTGTCTGCAGCGTGCGAGCCTTCATGGTCAATGCCGTCCAGTGGGCGGTCTATGAATGGGTCATGTATGAGTTGGGACAGGGCCGAAAACAATCTGTCTCAGACGGCATGCAGGTTGAGTTGGCTCAGACATGAGCTGATACATCTGCTGAGGTTCAGAGCAAGGACTTTCTCCTCAACCTATCAGGACCATGCGGGAGAAGATCTGGGTCGGGACGGGTGAGACATCGGCGAGTTTATGATGGGTTATAGCGGTCCACTATCAACTACGACCACTGCGATGAAACCATACTCTCTCGATTCTCCTTAACAATGGCAACATCTTGGGCACAACCCAGTACAAAACCCCAAGGAAACCCCCTCTAGCAGGCGTTGAAGTCAACCGGGCTTGCGTAGGATGTTTGAGGGCCATAAGGCGTGAGAAGCAAGGCCATTCAACATGCCATCGGATGGCTAGGTATTCAGGCAAGAGGAGCACTACCGAATCAGATAAATGAAATATAACCCCTTGAAATTCACAAAAGAGTACGGAGCACAGGTCTTGACATGGGCTGCAAGTCATTTATGGTGCAACTTCTCCTGCAATTGAACTTGACGGAATAAGATAGTACAGCGGAACAAGACTAGGACAAGATCGACCGTTAGCCGCGCGGCCCAAACCTCACAAGCATAATCAGCTTCGGATGTTTACAAACTTGGCGGGATGAAATACAGCATTCTTAACTCCTGACGTCCAACCTATCAACCTTATTCTACGCCATCAGTGATCTTTCGTACGATAATCCAGGCGCCATTAACCCAATCCCCCCTTTCCCGGCTCAAGATACCTCCTTTTGAGAGCGGCTTATCTCTCATATCCCTTTCTAGGCAGTGCCCTTTTCTCCAGCAACCTCGCGCCACCCTTCGAGACCGGTTTCCTTGTTCCAGCGTTGGGTATCCTCGTCATATTGCTGGAGCCACTTAGTCATAGCATCGCTGGCCTGGGCCGCAATCTCCTCCTTGGTTTCGCGTACAGTTGTGACATCGGTCTCGACTCGCTTCAAAGATGAATCCGAGTGCTTCTCGTCGCGCTCCTTCCGCTTCTTCTCTCTGTCTGCCAACCACTCTTTGCGTCCAGCAAGGTACTTGGCACTGTGTCCAAGACCGGCACTCTCGTGTGAGATGCCCTTGTGAGAGCGTTCGAGTGGGGGAGCAGTAAAGAACAGGACACGGCCGTTGCTGTCGTGCTGGAAGTTCTGTCGGAGCTCTTCTGGGAGAGCCTCGTTGATGTTGTCGGGTAGAGTGTACACCTCTGGTGGTCGTGGCGGGTTGTATACATTACCAGCCTGCATAGATGCACCTGGGTTGGGTGCCATGGGCGTGCGCGCAACGGCCGGGACTTGGACTTGGTTGTATGCCTGGGCCATTTGGTTACCCATCGGCGTCTGCTGATGCATAACAGGCAGCGCGTGCGCATAATTCGGCGTAAAGCCTTGGGCATAGCCGGCCTGTGGATGCTGAGGTTGATGTTGAAATTGCACAGGGCGCACCGCTACTTGGGGCTGGGGAGGGCCAAGGTGAGGAGGGTGAGGAATAGGCACAGGAGTCTGATGAACCTGCGGAGGCGGTGCTCCTGGAGTGACGGGCTGGAAGTGAGGCGCCATATGGGCGTTGTACTGAACAGGCGAGGGAGATGGTCCTCCAGGATATGGCATAGAGGGGTGCCTCACGGAGGGATCCGCGGGCATGCTTCCAGGTACCGAGAGCATTGATGCGCGCCGACCGGCATCAAGGCTGACGTCGGGAAGTGGAACGGCCGACATGGGCTGCGGCGGAGGGGTGGGTTCCGGAGGCGGCGACTCCTATGAGACAGGGTTTATGTCAGTCCGGTGCTGCAAAAACGGTGGAAGAACAACAATGATATCGGAACCTGAGGCACAAAAATTGTTCGTGAATCAGGCGTTGAGACCCAAACGGTCACGGATGGGGAAGAAGGGCAGGGATTGTGCATGGCTGATTGCTGATAACGGATCTCGTGGTCGCCAACGAACAAACGGACCACGCACCGCCATGACACTGGCAGTACGTCAAGGTAGAGAGGGTATGGACTTCTTCACTCACATTGGGTTCTCGTGGCCGGCGATGCACAGCTCCCACAATCGGGGGAGCGTTGGGGCTTCCCCATGTTGGCTTGGGCAGCTCATCAGTTTCCTTTGCATCCTCACGCAACAGGTGCTTGATAGGGCTGGGTATCTTCTTCATCCGTCGGGGGACATCATAGAGGTCCATTTCGTAGTCCTTGTCGCGCACTTCATCTGGCACGCAGCTGGCCCACGTCTTGATCTTGTTAAATCGGAACTTTTCCTCGTTATAACGCGACTCGCACACGTAAATCTCCTTGTCAAGAGGGAATCCTCGCGGACGACCTTTGTTGAAGCGTGTCACAAACATAACAAAGCAGTGGTCGAGGACTTCTTCGATTTGATGGTCTCGGTACTGGCCCGTCTTGACAACCTCATGTTCAAAGAAATGCTTCTCGAACCGATGAACTGTTTGCTCCGGCCGGTAGTACCAGCAGGCATTGATCCACCTTTGGCCAGCGCGATCTTGCCATGTGCGGTAGATCTGAGCCACGGTAGGTTTGGCCAAGTCATTGGGGTTTCGGATGTGAACCCAGTCACCTGCTTTGATATTAGCGATGGTCAAGAGAAGAGGAGCGAGCAACCCCGTTTTCTTTGTATACGTACCAACTTTCCATGACTGATCATTGTACACAATCTCCGCCAAGGGTAGTTTTCCGTCTTCATCCCGGAAATCATCGTCAGGCTTGGCCTTCTCCTGCTCAGCAAGGAAGCGAGCCTGCTTCTGGAGCTCCACGGCGGCTTGATGTACTTCGCTTTCGTCCTCGTTATAACGCTTGGCATTCTCGAACATGAGCTCGATATCTTGCATAACGTGGTCGACGCTTTGGTACTTCTTCCGCTTGGCCTTCTTTTTGATGTTGTCGAGAGCAATAGGGTTACCGATTGTCTGGTAGTAGTCGGGGACAGCGGCCTTGTCAGGTAGCTTCTCAAAAGCAAGAATGAGGAGGTTGCCGTCATCATCTCTTGGCTTTCTTAGACCCTTGAGAAGCGACGAGATTCGCGCCTCGGTTGGGGTCAGCACACTCGGGGGTCGTCCTCGTCGCTTGTGTGCATCATCATCCTTGTCCACGTCTCGATCTCTCCGGCCAGAGGTACGCCGTCTTCGACCCCAGTGTCGTCCGCCTTCGTCGTCTGAGTCATCATCATCGTCGTCATCCTCCTCTTCCTCCTCTTCCTCGTCCTCCTCTTCTTCTTCATCCTCCTCTTCGTCGTCTTCAGCTGGCGGAGATTCCTCTGCGGGTGGTAGCTCGCCCAGATCCGGCAATTTCGCGTCATCTGCGGTTATGTGCCCCTTGTCGACTAGTTTTTTGAGTTCTTCGACAAACACCTCCCTCAATCGTACGGCAGCGCCAAAAATGGGAGCGGAAGGGCGGTTGTAGACCTGAGCATTGTGGCAGATTTGCGCAACATCCTTGACAAATTCGGCGAAGGAGTTGTACTGCTTCTTTTGTGTTTTTCCCTGCCCTCGTGTCAATGATCCTGTCGCAACCCAATATAGTAGCTTGGCGTCCATAACTTACTCGAACAGTACTGAAGGCGACAGGCTCCGATATGATCTCGAAGTAGTCAGGCAGGACTCGTCGATTGGGGATGCGCTGGAAACCGCCGGCAAGTGGTTCGCCACTGTGTACCGATATTTGTTAGTATCTGCGCTTCGAGGCGTGGAACGGGAGACATACTTCTCCTCGACACTACAGAGGTAGGTCGCGAGATTATGAATCAAGCGATACAAATCAGGACGTCCTTGCTGGTCCAGCTCGCCCTCAGCATCCTCCTCACCCTCGGCATCCTCATCGCCATCAGCGTCCATGTCAACATCAGGATCGCCTTCGGCATCCACGTCGGCATCCGGACCATCCTTCATCTCGACATCTTCATTGGCTGCCTTTGCCTCGATCGATTCGCGCACCTCGGGCGCGTTCGCCCTCCGAGTCGACATGGCGAGGTTCTGGGGTCGCTCGGGCGCAGTCGTAACGCGTGGATGGGTTTGAGTCGCGATTCGCGATTGTCGTGGGATATGGTAAAAGGCGCAATTGCCGGGAGAGTATGATCGAGAAGCAACAAGACCAAATTTCGCGAAAGCTGATGATGCTTGATCGGGAAGGTACGTACTTGGACTTTCGACATGCAGTCTGGACCTTGGAGGTGCAAGAGCGCGTTCGCCCTTGCGCGCTTCAGGGCTAGTACAAATATGGCTAGATGGTACGTATATATCGTACGAAGGGGTCCCAATATGGCGCTATTCGCACAGTGCCGGGAATGCGCTCTGTTAGCTAACACAACTGGACCAACTTGTTGCCAAGGATTGATTGATTCACTTTTCTTTGTAGCTAGGTTCGAAAACGGCTTCTTTGAAGAATCCGACAGTTGTTGACTACTGATGCAATTAGTGTAGGACTTTTAGAGATTGTTTTTTCTTTTTTGAATATTATTCACTTGCCCTCGCGAGGCTCAGCTTCTCAGAGATTCCCCCAAATTCCTTGCCTTCAACGCTCTTCGCTGGCTCTCTCTGCCGCCCCTCCCTCATCGTTGTCCGCCTTTTCAACTCCATACCTACCTGCCTTTCTTCTGTACTGCCCGATAACGAACTCTTGGAGCCTCTGAACTTTGATCTTTTCTCTGTCGACTGCCTCCCGAAGACTCGTGGAATCATGCGAGCTCGGTACAAGGGCCCTGCCGGTACCGGCATCCTGGAGATGTCTGATGATGCAACAGTTCAGGCCGTCTTTGACGAACTGCGGGCCAAATCCGGCATCGCCAGCTTCAGCATTAAATATGGCCCGCCTATGGCAATGAAAACTCTCGAGCTCAGTCAGGGCGATCAGAATGCTCGATCTCTTGGCCTTCATGGAGAAACTCTCACTATCGTCCCTGAAGAGGCGCCACCTGCTCCTGAGGTGCCAGCTCACACAGCGGCTGCCCAACACCCCGCCACGACATCGCGGGCAGCCAAAAAGAACGAGAGCCCAGAGGATGTTAACGTACCATGGCCGGAACGTGAAGGCACATTGTGTTAGTATCGCGACACTGCCATCGCTCTGACATAATCTCTGATGGGAAGCAGTGCTTCGAGTCATGCCTAGCGACAACAGCTGTTTGTTCACAGCCTTTGGTGGCGCCTTGCCAAAGCAGATCCCTGCACAGCAACTGAGGAGGATGATGGCGGATTACATCGTGGAGCACCCGGAAGACTACTCGGAGGCTGTGCTGGGCAGTTCACCAAGCCAATATTGCCGCAGCATCCAGGACCCTGACCGCTGGGGCGGAGGCATTGAGCTGAGCATCTTGTCTTCCATTTTTGACATTCAAATTTGTACTTTTGATGTCCAGGTTCGTATTATCTGGTTGTTTGCTGTTCGGATAGCTCTAACTGTTCCAAAGGCCCAAAATCTCATCAACTTTGGTGAGGAGAAGAGGGATCGTTGTATCCTGGTATATTCGGGTATACACTATGACAGGGTCGCTTTCAGCTACTCAGAATACCCCCACGATGCCCCATCTCTTCCTCCAGAGATGGATCGGACAGTCTGGCCCACAGACGATGATGAGGTACTAGAGCAAACCCATAAGCTGGTGAAGAAGCTCAACGCAGCCCATTACTACACTGACACAGAGGGCTTGATCCTCAAATGCGACGTCCCAGGGTGCGATTGGATAGGCAGTGGTCAGCTCGAGGGTCGGAAGCATGCGGAATTGACAGGTCACGTTGACTTGAGTGAGATCCAGGACGAGGGTGACAATGTGCTTCGCAAGTGCGACACATTCGGGTGTCATTTTATAGGACAGGGGGATAGGGCGATGAGGGAGCACACCACAGACACAGCCCACGAGCGCTTCTCTATTATTCCAGACTGGTGAAATGGGTGGATATAGTTGAACGGAGTATATATATGGGCAACAAGATCAACTGAGTCATTTGACACACATTTATGGCTTAGACTCAAGCGTGAGGATTCAGGAAATGCCCAGTCACATGCCGAATGGCCAAATTGAATGTCTGTTCCCTTGGTGCGACCTTGACTACGCGCCAAGGAATTTATTGTTCCTCATTCTATTGTACATGTTGTACATACATGGTGGCTGGGTGGTTGCTTAGCCCTGGCAGTGTTTGATCAGCTGCCCATGTTGTGGCACAACCCAGAAGGGAGTCAATCCACAGCTTCCAAGAACCTCTCAGTCTCAATGCCCATGTGGTTCCTTGACCTTTTACTGAGTTCCGACGATTCTGTGCTGAAGACCTGGGTCGATGAAACGTGACTCCAGCACCTCAACATTTGAATTGGTTCATGGTGCCCATGCCAGGTTGGTTGCATTGGCTGGACTTGTCTATGCCCGCCAACCGGAAAGCGACTCAGTTGGTCTTCTCGGGGAGTTCCCGCCTGGGAACTGAATCGATGTTGGCAAGTGACAAATTGAGGAACTCATGCTTGTTTGTCCAGTTCTGTTGACATTCGGCGTACTCCTTCATTTGAGGGGCGGGAGGTGGAGGATCGGTAATCTTGGTGATCAAGTAGGCTGTTGAGGCCTCGGCGATACCATAGACAAGCACACCAACCAGGGGGATCTTGACCAGGACGTAGAAGCCGAACCCAAAGCCGAAAAGAACACCTTCACGGCTGCGGAACCAGTTTCGCTTCTGCTCCTTGCTGAAGTGAACTCTGGCAAAGTAGGGCTCGAGCAGCTCTCGCATCAAACTTCTCGACGAGAAGTAGCTCTGGAGGAAAATGACGAGGTACTTTCGAGGCAGGAAGATGCCTGTGCCGAAGATGACAGATGCTGGGCCTAAACCGACTGCGTTGTTGAAGGTGTAGAAACTGGCAGCGGGCAGGACAAAGCGGCCAATGATAGGGGCGTATGAAAGGGCGAAGACGGCCAGGGAGATACCGCCCTTGCGGAGGAATCTGTAGAGAAACATCGAAACAGCCTGCGCTGTGCTCTCTGAATGTGTACTTCCATCAGATGCCCTGTAACCCTTGAGATTGGGATAGTACATGTCTCGAAGCTCAGAAGGGTTATCGTTCTTGTGCTTGCGGACATAGGTCATATCCACCCACTGAAGCGACTGCATGAAACTGTGGCAGGTTGGTAAGTACTCGGACAATCTCAAATGATGGAAAACTTACAGGTTATCGAGAGTCGGCACTACATAGCGCATGAGGGCCATGAGAAAGAAGGGGACTTGAAGGACATATTCAGCAACAAAGTCGAGGCCGCCAACAAGCTTGTCATCCCACGTTACGGCATCGAGGGATATGAAGAACGAGATGAACCATATCAATACTTTGATACCAATTATCTGACCATGTTAGTACTGGGAAGCTTCTAGGTTCGGTAAGGTGTGAGCATACCGGAATAGCAATGACGAGCCGAATTGCGAGCCCTGCGACGACAGCTATGGCAGCTTGACGATAGTGATCGGTGGTGAAGAGTGCTGGGTTCTGAAGTGCTCGATGGGCTGTGACATGGAGTTAGCTTGACCAACCATGGGGGCCGAGTCTCCGGCGTTGTATACTTGCCTCCCACCAGGGTCAATTGAGCTCCCCGAATTATGGCATTGAAGTCAAAGTGGGACAAGTCGAACTTCTCCTCAAACTTCTCTTTCAGCTTATCTTTATCCACCTGTATCTTATTGGAAGACGACATTTTGGTTGAGAGAATAGGGCTGGTCTCGGAACGAAGCTATCCAACCTGACACACGACCCTGCTTCGGTAGAGCTTACGGTAGCTCAAAGTGGCACGATGTCAAAGTGTCAGAAGGCGGGGTCTTGCCTGATGGTAGAAGAACAGGGGATCTCAACGAAGTTGTCAAGGGCGGAGAGTGTCTCAACCTCCAAACCAAGTCATAGATTGAGGAAAGATATTCAGGGACAGCTGGGGCAAGTTGCGTGTGAGATGTCGAAACAGCTTGGAATGTTGTGACGTGGATGTGTGAGGCCACAAAGTGACGTAAGTGTTCAGAGGCAGCTTGCTTGCTGCAGATTGGTTGGCCCCGGAGCTTCAGCTATCCACTGAGTTGCATGTGAAAGCTGATAACCAGTGGCTGCGTGAGCTCCTGAGAAATGCTCAGGAAAGATCACGGGCGTTTAAAATTCGCCAGAGACATGGGTTTCGGATGCGGCTCTGAGTGCTTGATAGGTAAGGGATGCCTCTCTGATCCTAGACATAGCTACAGTACAGTTCTTGACTGGCTCTTCTCACTCCCAGTCGCGTCCATTTTATGAAGATCGTATCTGGTTGGTGTGTCCCACTCGTCGCTGGTTGGACAGCATACTGCGCCTAAGTGGTGTTCGCAGCGGGTTATGCAAGCTCTTGTCACTCCCGCGTTTAGCATCCCGTCCAATACATTGACAATAACGACATGGAACCATTTCAATAAGTTCATCTATCATCAGTTACAACGTACGATTTGTTAGAAAGTCCGTGAACCTAGCGGCTAATCAAACTCCTCGCCTTGGGCAGCCAAACAGAGCCTGTGCACAAAGGTGTCAAGCAATTCCAGGAGTAAACCCCCTGGCCAGATTGGGCCACGGGTACGCGGGATCTGCGGGCCTTGGAATGTCAAGGGAGATGACTAAGTTGCTTTTTTAGCTTCTCCAGGATCCCCCAGTCCACCCGCCCGCGGTTCCTGCGTTGAGAAGGACAAGAAGGGTGGGTTTCATATTAGCCACCTTGCGAAATCGAAGTCGTTCGATGAACATAGTGCCCCATCGCGCTTCGTTGAGGAATCTTTCTGTATCCGGCGTTGCCCCCTCCTCCTTGCCTTTTCAGTTGTCTAGCAAAACCTCCCTCGTTGGCTGGTCAGGGGAGACAGTACACGACAACTTCCTCACGACGCGACAATCTCCCGACACGACCATCATCTAGATCTCCTTCCTCGACGTCACGCAATTATGAGGGGCGGCTTCGACCCGGCCCGTCGAGATGCCTGAGCTGCAACCAGGCCAAGGATTCCTGTGCGCCATTGCAAACACGACTACACATCACCTTCACCATGGATGATTCGACGCACCCTCGCCCCTACCGGGCCCCTCGACGAGTTGCGACCGCACCGATTCCTTTACGAGCGGCCATGAGTATTGGCTCTCCTGATTCAGACAGCTTGGTCGAAACACTCTATAACCATCCCAATGCCAAAATCATTTCCTTTACAGCCTCTGGAAGAGCTCTTTCGAGGAGCCCTGGGGGTCCCGATGACGAACCAGGCAGCCTATCGTGGTCCTCGCAGCTGGAGAGAACCATCGCTGTTGGTAAGTCCATAGCTCCTTGAAGGCTTCGCTTCAGTACTAATTCGCTTTTTAGGTCCATTCCGTATCTACCGAGCCCCCGGATCCGTCGCCTTCCTGAACTGCGGTTCTGCACTACAACCCATTTTGCCCAAGAGTCAGTGCTGGTGCATCGACGAAGTGAATAGCAAATTTGTCTTACAGATTCGACGACCAAATTATTGGAGGATAGAGCTCCCCGTGCAAGACCCCGAGGATCAGACCCGAGCTGAGGCACTGAGGGGAGTATTTGATAAGATCCTTCAGTTCGAGAAGACTGAATGTCCCTTCAAACGTTCGTTTACGGTCGATCTGCCAGAACGCCCCCAGACACCGGTCACGAGGAGACCTTGGACGCCTGTGCAACGATCGCTGCCTGGTACTCCAGCTTTTGATACATTGTCTTCAGTGGGCTCTCGGCGGTCTTCCTTTGTTGGGAGAGCGACCACACCTACACCTCTAAGCAACAGGCACTATCCCGACTTTTCAACAAGTCCTTTATCAAGACCCACGAGCTCGGCATCCTGTGCACCCGCTTATCCTCAACTACAAGTCCCCAAGTCGAGATCCAGGGCTCATACCGACAGTGTACAATCCAGCGACGATTTTCACACTTCCATATCCGGGGACGCATCAGAGTCGCGACTTCGCAAACGATCTCCGTCTCCTGCCCTGATATCCTCTCGGGCTGAACGAGCCAGCCCTAAACCACTTGACGCTGTATTGGAACGGCCGGCAGAACTTGACTCTTCGGATCCCTTTCAACCTAGTTCGTCAGGAACACTGTCGGAGTCACCATCGATCAGCGTGGCTAGGCATGTCGAAATGATCGATGCCATTCCAAGACCCGAAGTTGGCACAAAGAAAGTTGACAGATGCCCCTCATTCTCCAGCGAGGCTTACACAAACTCATCCGACGGCGGATCTCCACAGTTCTCTGCAACCTCTGTTTCGGACGAACCATCAGTATACGAGCTTCATGAAGGGTCAGGATATCGAGGTGGCCGTATGAAGGCTCGACTTCGACGGACTGCTGGCTTCACAATGTCGCGATTAGTCACCTTGCCACCACATTTAATGTTGGGAACGAACAAGTCTTCCCCATCTGAGAATATTACACCCTCAAGTAAAGAGCCTGGGCATCCAGAAGCCCCGTCAAGCAATCCCGACACCTCGGATAAGGCCAATAAGCAACCTACTGTCGAAAACGACGACAAGGTTGAACCCCAACATCGACGCCGAGATAGCGAGGAGTCGTTTCATAGTGTTGAGTCCTGGCATTCGTCCACTGCTCCTCCGCCTCTATCTCCCCTAACATCTCAGCCGGATTCCCCTGTCGAGGAAATCCATGAGGGGAGAGAGGAGCAAAAGACCACCACATTGCTGAGCCCACTTCTCGAGGCAGATAAAGCCTTAGAAAGCGCAAGCAGCTCCGGAATGCCATGTGCATGGGAGTCGGACTCAGACGAGGAGGACAATGTTTCGGCTGCATCTAATCCCGCGCCAACGGCCTCAGACGGAGACTCTAGTATTGATGCCCTACCTGGACATGCTAATGGCGAATCAACACCTCCATCTCACTTTCAACGCCCGGCCGCGAGGCACCGGGCCACTACCAGCAGCATCTCAGTAAGGCGACGCCCGCTATCTCCACTGCCTTCAGCTGCGAATCTCTTTACGCCACCCACGGTGTCGACCACGGAACGAAGGACGTACAAAAGCAGATTGGAAACTGTGAAGAACCTGCCCATGGCCATTATCAGTAAGACTTGCGAGATGATAATTGGGCCCCCAAGCCACCTTATCACTCTCATGCTCAAGGTTGCGGCGAAAATTGTTGCCGGCCAGTGGAGTGGCTTGGTGTTTGGGTACGGTGACGACGGAGAGCAGATACCCGTCCAGTGGGACTATTCGGAAGGGGACTTTAGCGACTGGAGCGACGATGAGCCTCACATTGGCTCCCACCACGATCACCATGGGCACCATAGGCACCATGGACATCATGGACATCGACGCCATAGCAGCCACGCCATGCACACCCATGATAAGGAGGAGACAGCGACGGCCGAGCAACCTGAATCCTCAGATGACAGCCGAAGCTGGGGGGTGGATTGAGCAGCAAGTTGACTTGGGCGATATGGACCATGGGTGGTAAACCAGAGGAGGATGTTAATGACAACTGTAATATGCATATGGACGGACTGGATGCCCCAGCCGTCCACAGGACCTGTAATTTTAGAGATGGATGTTTGATGGGGGATACGGAACGGAACCAGCCGGCGTTAAATGTTGCGCTTGAGATATGTGGATGGAGTTCCAGCTTGACGCTCTCTTTCTCTCATTTTCATGGAATCTAGGCATGATAACAGAATATTAGCAATTTAATGCACATGAGTAACTGAGGCTACTGTGAGAGACGGCTGAGGCATATCCGTATTCTTTCTGTGCTGGTGATGCCAGGCTGTGAATCGCAGACCAAGCTCTTTTCAACGGCCAAGCCCAAGAAATAACGGCTAAGGCTTGCCGACTGGACCCGAACATGCATCGTATTGACCGTGATCAAAAAGCAACAGCTTCTGAGTGGTCTGTTTGGCGTCCACCGTCGGATCGACAATTTCAGAGGCTCATTGTTCGGGCGATGCGAGGGATACGGGGAAAACGAGAGTCGCGAACCAAGTATAGAATCTGAGGAATACAAGTACTCCTACAGCTAAAAGATGCGTAAAAGTACATTTCTGGGTTTGGCGTGGTACTTGTCCCTGGTCTGCCTGGACCCACCCCCTTGGATATCGTATTCCTCGCATCCAACGCGATTGGCCACCAGTGTCACAGGGCTGAAGAAGGGCTGGATTGGGGATGATACTGCGAGATGGCACTTGATATTGAGGCTGATTTGAGGGTTAATTCTTTGATCATGGCTAGCTATATAATTATGTCGAGTCCCCTTCACTTGGCATGGCAGAACGATCAGTCTTGGCCTCATCATTATCGTGTTGAGTAATACTACAAGAATCCTGGCGGAGTTCTCTGTAACTTGAAGACTCGAGTTCAGTGCGACACTAGATTGGCATCATGTCTGACGGGAAATACGGCAAGTTTACCCTCTTTGGTCTGTCTATTATTGGGTGACTAACATTGTGTCTTAGTGGATGGAAGCTACTGGTTCTACGCCCCCAACAAGGGTGCGGCCATCTTCTTCTGCATCACCTTCTGCGCTTCAGGATGTGTCCATGCATGGCAGTCTTCGTAAGTAACCCTGCCATCGTGTTGAGTGATTGAAGCATGGAAGTTTGTGGTTCTGACTATCAGATAGGCACTATAAGTGCTGGATATTGACACCCTTATTCGCCTTTTGTTGCCTCCTCTTCACAGCCGGCTTTGCTCTCCGCGAGTATGGAGCGTTCCACTACGACAACCTCAACATCTTCATCGCCAGCATTTGCATCACATACGCTGCCCCGTACGTTACACACGGCGCTCATGCTGTTCGCCAAGACTGACATGTGAAACAGACCGCTCTTGGAGCTGCAGAACTACCACATCCTTGGCCGCATCTTGTACTACGTTCCTTACCATTCACCGATTCACCCTGGACGAGTCTTGACAACCTTTGGCTTCGTTTCCGCAATTATTGAAAGTCTTAATGGATGGGGTGCTTCTTATTCGGCAAACCAGTCGTTGTCTGACAAGGCCATCGCAACGGGCCACGCGCTCATCAAGGCCTCATTACTTTTGCAAGTCATCGTCTTGGTGCTTTTCGTCGTTCTAGCGACAGTTTTCCACCACCGATGTATCTCGAATGGCGTGAGAAACGACCGGCTCCAAAGTTCACTCATCACGCTCTACATAAGCACAACGTTGATCCTGGCGCGGACCATCTACCGAATTATCGAGTACTTTAGCGTGGCAGAACTCCGGTACGGCCCTGGCTTTGACCCCTCGACCATAAACCCCGTTGTTCGGTACGAGTGGTTCTTCTACGTGTTCGAGGCAGCCGTGATGCTGATCAACACTGTCATGTTCAATGTGCGGCACCCACGACGATATCTCCCTAAGAGCAACAAGATCTACCTTGCCCCAGATGGAGTTACCGAGGTGGAAGGACCCGGGTTCAAGGACCCCAGGCCATTCTGGCAGACCCTGATTGACCCCTTCGACATCATTGGGCTGACGACAGGCAAGGGTAGGGAGACGGAGAGGTTCTGGGAGACGAACGATGATACGACGACGAGGGATAGTGTTAGAACCAAGTCAGATGTTGAGACGGTCTAGGAGAAGCAGTCACGACTGTGGGATGCAAGTGCTGTCAGACTGGGTGGGTTGGATAGGTGAGCGAAGGATGCTTGTTATGGGGAGTTTCTGTTCACTGTAAGCTCGCGAATACCCTTTTCATTGTCGTATATAGAAAGAATCATGGTCTTTACAAGGAGGTTGAAAGTTTCCCTCGCAGTTAATGACTTGTATTCTGTAACCCCTTGCTGTTCTGGCAAGCGAGGTTGAAGAAGTACCTGAAGTCGGCTGTTCCCTGCCCAATTTCCGAGAAATCCACGTGCGAGATCCATACTGCCAGGCCAGGGTGGATTCATTGCCCCAACGCCATTGCCGATGACAGGCCAAACTGTGCACTAATAATAGGTGGTCGTGCTTTTGGGTCCCCGAAATGGGAGGATCCTGCGCACAGAGGCGTGCTTGTCTGTCTAGGTACCTGACGTGAGACACATTTATAGTGAGACAAGCTTGTGCCTCCTTTGCTGAACTCAGCCATGGACTTTAGAGGAAACGGCGAGAACTGGAAAAAGATTGAGATAAGCTCGATATACGGGCGGGTTCATCATGTGTTTATGTTTGAGCAAATGAGTCTAATGCCAATGCAGATTGCAGGATGCACCAAACAAAACCGCCATGAAAGCTCCGGGTAATCGGACAAATCAGAGACGAGATCTTGTGAGAAGGAATGGCAATGGCCAGGTTACAGTTATACACGAGACACATCCCTGATCCTCCAAAGGGGGCAGCATGATGGGCCATGGCAGGGAATCGGAGCCTTCGCTCCCAAGTCGGTTAAGCAAAGCTGGGTGAATCTGCAAGCCAGTGCTTAAATCTGTTTGTTATGCGTCTGCTACCGCGCGACTATTCGTCTCATAATCACAAACAGCGTTTCATCAAGGGTGGCTACATACTACGTAGTATGCGGCGGTCAACCCGGACGAGGGCCCGGGGAAACAATTCTAGAATGAATGCCGCCGACGATCATGCTCTTGTGAGCACCACGCGCCTTCTGGCCCAGGCTTATTCTTCCTTCTTCCTCCTTATGGATTCTGTTGAAGAACAGACTGCCTCTGCCTCCGCCACCTCGCACTCACTCACTCGTTAATCTCACCTTGGCCAAAAATAACACAACTAAAGAGGCCGCTCCCTGTACGGGAATGCCTTCGCCACAGCCTGCGGCCACACTACGAGCCTCGATCATCTCTAGCGCATCCGTGGCGGGGGGCCCTTGCACCCTGGGGCGAGTGAGAGGGGGATCTGCCAATTACCGCCGGGTACTCGCTCATCACGCAGCCAAATGCAGCTGTGCAACCTCAGCTGAGAAAGGCAAGCCTCTCTGTCTTCGCCACAAGCCTCGACAGCTTCTCTCGTGTAAACTCCCCAAGCACTCAGGTGGGCTTGCTGTCCTGCGCTCGACTGAGTCAAAGCGGGGAGCTATTGGAATATTCACTCGTTGTTGATTGATCAATCCTTTCAAGGGATGTCATTTTCAGCACGACACTGTGCCACCACAAAACGCCAAGGGCAGATCCTCGCCCTCCCCTGCTCGTGGGATCCCTAGCTCCTTCAGGTCTCCTCTAACAGGCTCCGCCGAAACAGGGGACTCCCAAAAGTACCCCCCGCCAGGCATGTGCAGAGCTGGTGTCGGTGCTGGTGCTGGTGCTGTATCATGCTGTGTCCGGCCGTGGGCGCGCCGACAGACAGACCATCTCTCAGCTTTTGCGAGGTCAGGTGGCAAAGCAGGGATTGGGCCGTTTCCTCCGACCGACTCTGGTCTCCATGTCGGGCTGGAGGCTAGATGTTCCTCGCCATCCATTCCAAAACAAAACACTTGGCCATGCTGTACTTGAGCAGGGCTTCGCCCCGTCTTCTCACACTTGTCCATTCTCTTGGTGTAATAACCTTATTGACCTGCCTCGGCTTATTTGGGCACGCGAGCGCGGCCACTGACTACTTGAGGCGGAGAGCAACTCTAAGCCTCACTTCTGGAGCAACGGCCAACTGCATATCTTCATCTCACCACCCTGCCAACGACTCTGTCGTTCTCTTATCCTTTTCTCCCTCTTCTATCTGATCGTCTCAAATACCCCGCGTCCTACCTATTTGTTGAGACTTCAACGTATTCCTTTGTCGTCTCTTTATCTCTTGGCTCATCGAAACCCACAACGCCTCGCCCCCTCACTGGTCATTCCTGTCGACACAGCCAGTTCACTCCCGAAATTATCGCTCATCGCCAACCAATCTGGCCCAGGTCTTGCTGAAGACCTTCTTCCCACCTTCATCTGACCATCTTCCCGCCATCCGTCATCATGGGGGACCGACCAGCTGTCTATGTCCACTTCGAGCTCGGCGTGTCATGGCCCAAGCATCTGTCGAAGGATCGCCACATCACATACATCTCAAAGAGCATGCGGGATCGAGCAAACCAATTCCCTCGACAGTTGCCTCCCGTTAATACCAACTACCTCGCCGCACCAACACAGTACCAGGTTGCCTACCAACAACCAGTGCCCCAAATCCAAGAGCCCCAGGCACACCCACCATATCAATTAACTTACTACACCAACGAGATACCACCCAACACCTACAACAGAGACCCAGTAACACCAGCCCCGGCACAGACTGTCCAGTACCAGCCATACCAACCCGTCCAGCAGCCACAACATTATAGTCAGGAATATTACGCGCCAGTGGCATCAGTCCAACCACCGGTTGAGGAGGAAGAGGTTCGAGGGAGTTCGAGGTCGATGAGCCGAAGCTCGCACGAACGGGGCAGGTCAGCTCCGCCTCCCTTCAACGACAGCCCCTGGGACGTCGGTTCCAGCTCCAACAGCCAGGGTGTGCCTCAACTCTGGAAGGCCTTGCCGGCAACCCCGAACCAGTACCGCCTAGGAGAGGATAACATGCCCTGGTCTACGTGGAGTTTTCCCATGGGATACAACGAAAACGAGGATGAGGGCGACGATGGCGAAAGAGGCGAGAGCCGTTCCCGCGAGGCCAGCATCCGAGCAACATGGGGACCCGAATTCCCCGGAGAACCCGCGCGCCGCCCTGAATCGGATGACCGGCATCGAGGCAAGGCCAAGGATATCCAGTCTCTTGCCACTGCTCTGATGACAGTGGACAACGGCTTCGAAGATCAGTGGTGGTACCAGGGACCTCGGCTTGTCAACCTGCATGGAACCGTGCTGGTGCCCACAGCAGTTCCCAAGTCCAGTTTTCACCCGGATTTCCAGCAAGGCTCCGTTGGATGGGCCGTATCTCGGGAAGAAGAGATGCGGCAAAAGGATGTTCAAGAGCAATATCAACGGCAGCTACAGAAAGACCAATTGCAGAAGCAGAAGCAACATCTACAGCAACTGCAGCAACACCAACAGCGACAACATCAGCAGCAGCAGCAGCAGCAGCAGCGACAACAACTGGAATCCTTCGTGCCATCAACTCCGTCTTTCCAGGTTGTGTCGCCCCGGTCGAGCGTCGCCGATATTGTGTCGCCCCTGAGCGAGTACCCGAGTCCTTTGTCGAGCTTTGGAGGCCTTCGACGCTCATTAACCACAAGGTCCGATGAGCTTCATATGTAATAGATAAAATAGGGAATTATTATTAAGCATGGCTCCTAGATTAAATAAAATATATTTACTAAAGTTACTTTAAGGCTATATTAATAAAAGTACTAGGGAAGTTATTAATAATAATATTATTAAAGATAAGTAATATTAATTAAAATACCTAAGGTATATATCTAGCTTATAATAACTTATAAGAGCTTATAATAATAGCTTATAATATCTTATAATAATACCTTATAATATCTTATAATAATACCTTATAAAAGCTTATAATAGTCTTTAAAAATAATTTATAATAATAGAAATTTTAAATAATATAACTTAATTAATAATAGCTAAAAAGGAAAAGTAATAAAGTAATAAAATAATAAAAAAAGCTAATTAATATTAAAGTTAAAAAAATTAAAATAAATAAATAAATAAAATAATAAAAAAATATAATTATTATTATTATTTTATTTTATTTTATTTAAAAAAAAAAATTAAAATATCTTAATATTTTAAATAATAGCTTTATTTATAATAAATAAATTATATTTTAATTAATTAAAAAGGTTAATATTTTCTTTTTATAATAATTTTCCCTTTTATTATTAATTTTTTTAATTATTTTTATAATTTTTAATTACTTAAAAAATATAATTATTTTTTTTATTTTTATAAAAAGAAATTTAAATATAAATAATAAATATAATTAATTAATAATTAGCTAATTAATTAATAAAATAAAAAAGAATTATAATAATTAGTTTTTATAAAAGCCTTTAATTAAATAATTAAATTAATATAATTAATACTTCTTAATAAGTCTATTTATATAATTAAAATAATTTTATTAAAAAGATTTATAAACTTTATAAAAATATAAAAATATTTATAATAAGCTTTAAAAAGTAATTTTATATAAAATTATTTAAAGTATTATAATAAATATATAATTAATTAAATTAAAAAAAAACTTATAATTTTTAATTATAAGCTTTTTTTTATTTAGCCTTTTTTTATTTAATTATAAGATAAATAATTAATTAAATTTTATTAAATAAAAGCTTTTTTTATTAAATATTTTTAAAAAAAATTAAAAAAAAAAAAATAATTAACTTAAAAAGAAATTATATTTTAAAATAACTTAAAAAATAATTATTATATATTAAATTTATATTACTTAAAGTAGGGATTAAATATTATTATTAAAGTCTTAATAATTATAATTATAAAGGCCTTATACTTAAAGCTAAAGGGCTTAATATATTTAAATTAATAAGGTTTTATATTTTATTATTAATAGCTTTAATAATATATTAAAAATAGCCTTATTTATATTAAATAAATTACCTCTTAATTAATTAAAAAGCTTTTAATCCCTTTATATAATAATTCTTTTTTTAATATTAATCTTTTAATTACTTTTATAATTTTTAATTAATTAAAAATTAAAAATACTTTTATTAATATTATTAATAAAAATTTAATAATTATTATTATTTAATTTTATTTTACTTAAAAAGGGGATTAAAGTATCTTAATTAAAATCTTAGTAAATTTAATAATAAAGGCTTTATACCTAAAGCCTAAGGTCTTAATAGGCTTAAATTAGTAAGGTTTATTTATATAATTATTAATACTTTTAATAATAGCTTTATTCGCAATAAATAAATTATATCTTAATTAGCTAAAAAGGTTAAAATCTTCTTCTTATAATAGCTTTTCTCTTTATTATTAACCTTTTAATTATCCTTATAATTTTTAATTACTTAAAGAGATATAAATCTTAAAGGATTATACTTTTATTATCCTTATAAAAAGAGATTTAATTATAATTAATTAATAACTATAATTAATTAATAACTATAATTAATTAATAACTATAATTAATTAATAACTATAATTAATTAATAACTATAATTAATTAATAACTATAATTAATTAATAACTATAATTAATTAATAACTATAATTAATTAATAACTATAATTAATTAATAACTATAATTAATTAATAACTATAATTAATTAATAACTATAATTAATTAATAACTATAATTAATTAATTAATTAATTAATAATCTAAAAAAGATTTATAATAGCCTTTTATAAAGACCTTTAACTAAATAATTAAAGT